GTCCCCCACCAACAAGTGGACCGACCCAATAAACCCAATGTCCTGAAAAATCTCCAACCGCAAGAGCTGGTCCAAAGGAACGAGCAGGGTTCATGGAACCGCCAGAGAACGGACCGGCTGCAAGAATGTTAGCACCAACGATGAGTCCGATAGCAAGTGGAGCGATGGTTCCGAGAGTGCCATTGTTGGAGTCAATGGCTGTGGCGTAAACGGTGTAGACCAATGCGAATGTGATTATGATCTCCATTACTACTCCTTGTGCTGTTCCTACTCCAGCCGCAACGTTGTGGTCTGTGGATTGGAATCGCCTGCGTTTTAAAGATTTTTTTACGTTTTGATAATAATATCCAAAAAAAAAAAACACTTTTGAAAATAATATATGTTAATATGAAGTTGGTTAGTGATGTCAAATTGGTGAGTATGGAAAATACAAACCACTTGGGTAAAACATATATACTCACAAATGATACTATTATCAAATAAAAATAGAGATTATATCTCTTGAGAAAATGTATCAATTTCCGAAATTAATTCTCCATATAAATTACTTAAATAAAAACTGAAAAACATATATATGTTGAGTAAGAAAGTAAGTGAATACATTAGAGTTTAGACCATACCAAACCACCGGTGACAAATTTGAGAAGGAAGCAAGCTACGGTGGACCCGAGAAGCTGAGCAATCCAATAGAAAACTCCGGTGATGATTGTGACTTTTCCGCCAACAACAAGGCCAAAAGTAACGGCTGGGTTAACATGGCCACCGGAGTGGTTAGCTGCAATCGAAACCGCCACTAGTCCAGATGCATCAAGCGCCGCGTTCTCCGTTAGCTTCCCTATAATATACAAATAATTATCACATTCGTTAGGTATTAATCCATATATAATAACAAATTAGGAGACTTAAATACATTTTCTATGGGAAAAATGTAATAGTTTGATATGATCGGTTTAACAATTGAAAACTACGTTACAAAACCAATAAGATATAGGTCAACGTTAGCTTCCCTATGTATTACAAATAAGTGGTTAAGTAGTGACCCGTAATTACATATAATTATAGTGATCCATATCTAAAAATTAAGAAATTAAATTACAGTTTTTTATCACAATATAAAGATGAATTATTTCAATATAGATGTAACAAGTGAAAACAACGGTATATAGTAACCAATAGATAAGTTTCGATCCTATTTGGTTAATCATGATCTTATATAATCGAAATTGCGGAATTTGAAATGTTTTAGGTCGCAAATGGTACAAATTGAGAGATAGATAACCAACCAAAGGCAATGGCTGAGCCAACGCCAGCGAAAACAAAGAGCAAACTAGAGATGAACTCGGCGAGGTAAGCCTTTAAAGTGACCAGTTTAAAGGAGTCTTCAAAGGAACCAATAATGTCAAGACCGGCCATTGTTGAAAGGTGTGAAGAACGTATAGAAGAAGAAGAAGATTAGTTGCCAATGCAAAACACAAAAGGACCTTTTGCATGTCATACTCTATATATAAGAGCATATTCTTAATATAATCCACGCATAATTATTGACATTACTACTTTTAACAATATAAGTTTTGTTAGTGCGTTGGACATGAGTTCTAATGATTGGTTTTTTTACCTGTTATAAAATATTTTACATCATGGCCGGTTTACGAAAATGTTGATGATAACGACATGACTGATTGTTAAAAATAATATAAATCCGTGATAAAATAACACATTTATCAACTTATATATAATATACGTGATGGTAATCAGTAATATGGAATCAAGAATTCAAGTTTTTCAGGTCACCGTAATTAACATGATTACCTAAACAAACTAACATGATTGATCAATGATCATATGTTTCGATTTTTTAACTATCAATAGATTAACATATGTAATTGACTTACACGATTATATTTCATAAGTTCATACAAACTCTTTTTGATAAAATCACAATTATACAGACATGCATCATTAATATTTGTTTTTTTTTTTATATACCCGATCGGCTGATCCGGTCAGCCTCGACAGGAACGCACCGGAGTGCTATAGAGTGGACTCACTACCATCTCGAAGGATGGGCTACCACACTTCCTGATACGAGTTTAGAATGCTTTCCGACTAATGCCCGGGGGTAGCTGGATCACCTGTTACCAGACTACCAGGTAAACTGCCTAGGCCGAAGTCCAAACCCAGACTTCCCAACAAAGTGTTGATAACAGCGAGGGAAGAAGATCGAACCCGAGTTCGGGGATTTCACCCTCAACTCCGGACTTCGCCCTACCACTCGCCCACCACCTTGCGGGCATCATTAATATTTGTTCCAACGTCGTCTTATTTATATCATAATTAGGATCGGACAACAAATTTTCATGAAAATAATTTTCAGCTGAGAGGGATAGTGTGAGCTATGGCCAACTTGGAACATATAGGGACCAATGATCTTCCATGTGGTATGGTGAGATTTGAAGAGACTTTGACTTACTTTTCATTTTAAATTCATCCCTAATTCTATGGTTATAGCTCTTTGCCTTTCTTATGCAGAGTTTTTACGTTTCAATTTAGTGCAAGAAGTATACCCAAATAAGATGGTAATTGGGTTGACCAAGACATTATAAGTATTTGAATTTGGATAGTTGAACAACGGCAGTTACATAAATCAATATGCTAGATGTTATTTTCCAAACAAAAACATCTAAAATGTACATTAGTACATATACAGTATCTTTATAAAATGGATAAAGTGTATGGCTAGTGTCGTAACTAATACATATATCATACTTATTCATTTATAAACTAAATCGAAAGATTAATTTAATTCTACGATCTAAATTATTTGATTAGTCGATACAGTACAACTTAATCAAACTTGAAAGTCAAACCTAAACATAGTTACATAATGGGTTGAGATTAGGTGGCCGCTATGTTGGAGGCTGAGTTAAACAAATCTCTAAAATTTTATAATAAGATTGATTTCGTTGTCTTGCCTCCATGAACAAAATAATATTTTCCAATTTAGAGTTGTTGACTTTTTTTTTTTTTACTCCAACTTTTTTTTCTTGTTTGCTTAGTGTTTACATATTCAATTTAGCCTAAAAGGCCTACACCTAATATACATTAAATGGGTTAGGCCCAATACGATTTACATGCAACATCTCTTTTAGTTTTGTATTCGCTTTCACTTACTTGAACAACTCTCAACTCTATATTTGCTCGAGCTAACGCTTCAGAGATTGGCCACATGCAGCGACCAGAGGGTGAAGCTATAAATGTTTCTTTTAAATCTTAATTATATAAGCACTAGTAAATGAACCAGAACATAAACCCTTTCCTCCCAACCGGTTCTAACCAAAAGTTTTCCAATACATAGTAAGACATACGTTATTGGAACAACTCCAAAGTATGTAAATTCGTTTATGTACCACCAGAGTACTGAAACAACAAGAGATGAAGAGAAGCAACACCTACGAATATGCTTACTTCATCAAACGGCCTTTTATATATTAGAATGCGAATCTCATAAACTTTCACAAGAAGACATTAGCCATGAAGATTCTCTCCAAATGTTAGGTATAAGCATGCGTTTTTGGTTGGTTAGGACTTTTTGAGCCGGAATATATGCATATGCTGATTTTGTTGCTAGAGAATCATCCCTTGTTGCAATTGTTTGGATATGTATATATGTTTGTACAATCATAACACAAAAATGATATAATTGACCAACGTTGTGTTGGCCCAGTGGTAAATCTCTCAGGTGGTGGTACTGGGTTCTACGTCCGTTGGGAGGGATCTCTTTTCCAAAGGAGATGAATTTAACCCGGTGTGGGTCCCGCCTCTGGGAGATGTAGGGCTTTCGGGCTTGAACTTCTAGATATTCAAAAAAAAAATGATATAATTGATAAATGATGAGATAGATAATGTTACAGTTATATACCATTTAAACCCTTAGAGATAAGAAATAAAAATCAATCTCAAATACTACATACAAGCTAAGAAAAATAGTTGATAAGATAAGTCTCTACATAGTTTTTTTTTTTTTAACCGTGGGAGTTCCGGACCTTTGGCTTATAATCTTCTTCGGTGTCTGGAGCCAGCCTATAGTCTATTCCTATTTAAAGAATATCTCTCGGTTCTAAAAAAGAATTGAACCCAAGAAACAAATAAACTAAACCCCTTTATACTACCACTACTAGACCACCACCCAACCCATTGGTTCTCTACTTCGTAGTTGAATCTCTTAGAGCATGATTATTGGTAGTATCTTAGAAATATCTCTTAGCAATTTTTTAGTAATATATTTGTAAAAGTGATTGTTAAGAGATAGTATTTTTGAGTTAAGATTTTTTTGTGATTAATGGTAGGCTCTTAACATATATTAATATAAAAATAAAATTTATAATTATAAAAAAATTAATAATTGTTGCAAATTAAAAAAATTAAAACATACATGAGATACAATTCAAATTTTGAAAGTTTTATATGAGTATATGAACTTTTGAGCGTTTACATTTGAATGATCATTTGAGTAAACATTTGTCATAATTGTCTTCTATCATCTTCTTTCTTCTTTATCAAGTTTCTGCAGTGTAATATGCATAAGAAATTTTGAGTGTTTACATATGAACTTTTGGTTAAACCAAATTTTGAATGAAACAGAGTTGTGGTTTTGGACAAAGTGTTTACATTTGTGTTGGACAGAAAAACAAACTTAAAGTGTTTACAAAGTTTTAGTTCAAACAAAAGATTTGTCATCTCTACTTGCCATGTGATGCTTGTCATCACCTATAAGCACAACGATTGTCATCTATTAAGATTGGTTTCATCTCTAAAGTGTCTACAAAAGATAAGAGACGACTTGTACCTTGAAATCATTATCTCTATAGCAGCTTGAAGCATTGGTATCAGTGGAATTACTTTTTTATCTCACTGCAGGGACCCTAGTATTCACTTGTCCTCAGGTGTTCTCAGCATTACTTTGGTCTTCTTTGAGTTCCTTCTGTGCTTTAATCCTTGCATCATGAAGTTTCATTTTTGATTTAGCAAAACTTGCACAACACAATAGTCAAACAAAATTTCTATTAACATAACAAGAGAAGGGCTCTTACCATAGCTTGTCTTTTCAATTCTTTTTCAGCTTGTAGTTTTTCATCAACCTCTCTTTGTTGTCTCTGAATTTCTGCAATGCGTTGTTTTTTAGCTTCCTTCTACTTCTTTCTTTTTCTTTTCCATTTCCTGTTTCCAAGCCATTTCTGCCTCCATTTCAAGCTGGTTTGGCCAGTGCATAGACTTCAGGGAACAGTTGAATCTTGAGGGCTTGATGATTCGAACGATGACCATCACTAGGGGATTGGGTCTCTCCTTAAGGTAAAGGCTCGTCATCTTCAAAACCCCTTTGTGGAAGAAAGGTAGAGACAGAGTCAACATCACACAAAGGGCCTTAGCTGTTCATAGTACAAATGGTTACAACAACAACAACACCCCGAAAGAAACAAGAGAACATACTTATAAATCAATAAAACCAAATCATGGCACATGGAGCTTACTGATGAAATCACAGCAAGCATGCATGTCAGAATAATTTTCAAACTCAAAGATATGACTTCTTCCCTATAATCAAAAATGAGGAAACTTCACTAATATAGCTTCAAAATTCATATATCTATAACAATAAAAATGAAAATTAGCCTCAAGCACAAAGGGCAAAGAAAGAAGATTTGGAAATTTTTGGAGTTCACCTTTCGAAAATTGAAGGGATCTGAAGCGATAGAGTTAAATTCCGGTACCGAAACTGGTTGAATCGCCATCGCCTCGGAGCTCTGGTGAAAGTTGTCCCCGATTTCGCAAGCCCACCTCGCCGATTTTGTGAACCGCAGACGCCGTGGACAACCGCCGTCGGTGGAGATGCAGAGATAACGGTGGAACGACGGCCGGAGGTCATTGACATCGGAGACTCCTCCGATTGGAGTCGATTTCACGCCTTTGTTTCTCTCTTTGGTTCTATCGCGAAAATGTGAGAGAGAGAGAGAAAGAAAAAAAACACGGAAACTCTTTTTTTTTTTACCCTTCCAACTGCCACGTCACCGCCTCTTAGCATCACATTTATCTCTTAGCTAAGAGATGCCTTAGCTGCCTCTTAGATTTATGCGTGATTTATTATTTAATTTTATACATAATTCACCCTAAGAACAAGCTAAGCAACCACCGTTAAAGATGCTCTTACTTTCACTATTCGGGTCTCATTTTTAAACTTCATTCTTTCATTTTTTATAATTTTATCGCGAGCTTTTATTTTCTCGCTTTCTTTTATTCAAGTCTCAACATGGTTTGATAGTCTAGGACTCTAGGTCCATTATCATTATTCTAGTTTCTATGGCAATAACTGCAACTCGAATGATTCTTCAAATGAATAATCAGAGTTGCTCGAGGAATAAAGTAGATGACATTTAATTCTCCATACATCTTTTCCAAATTTATTTCAAAAAATTTAATAAGTATTTAATACTGAAAATACTTTTTAAAGAAATTTGAACGCAACTGTAAACATTTCTCCACTAAAATTAAAAGTACAAACTTTCTTTTAATCAAATTTCTCTTTATGGTCTGCATTTGCTAACGTCCTTACAAGTATTTGTGAGATTGAACTTTGTATTGATATTTTTTTCTATGATAGAAATAAAATACCGTATTATTTTGAATATTTTTTATCAGCTATAGGAATAAAAATAAATAAAAGTATAACAAATGTACGTGGTATGTGAAAACTTTTACAACAAAAAGAAATTAAAACAATGTACGTGGTGTGGGCTAATGTAGAAGAGTAACGCTTATCCCTAACCTACTCTCTCTTGTTGTCATCCACTGTGTTTGCCTCATTTTGTACCGTTTGAATTTTAAGGGTCCCTTTATTATTAATTAGGTTTGAGTCGTTTGACTAATATTCCAATTTGATCTTATTATTGAAAATCCATTTTACCAAACCCTTTATAGTGACAACACTCAGGATATTAGAGCCCATCAAGAAAGAGAATCTTCTTATCTTTTAATTTTGTCGTCCTTTTATTAACCTGAATAATCACACACAAAGAATGTCTAAACGACTTTGGAAACGATATTTATGACTACGTTTATGTCGACGCACCCCTACACGTCACGTCCTTGCAAAATGAATAGTATAATGTTAATACATGCAAAAACAGGGACTCTAGACAATTCTTACAACATACATATATATACATTCATATAATTCGTATGATTTCAAAAAGATTTGAAGGGGAATATAATATGGACAAAAGGGATTAAAAAAATAACCTACTAGAAATAGTAAATTGTTAGAACATGTATCAGTTAATATTTTTTCTTTTGTTAAAAGTTTTCTTATATAAATAAATAAAAGTATACAAAGAAGCAACATATAACCATTACCAGCAAAAATAAAAAGAAAACTAAAAACTAGAAATAAGAGGACGACGGATCCAAACAAAGGAAGTTTGAATAAAGGAAGAAGAAACAGTGCCTAATCTTTGTGGCAGCTTTAAGGAATCCAGCATTGTAGCTAGAATTGAGATTCCACGTTTGAAACCTAGATGAAGCATTGCGTTACACTTATTTTCCAGGGTGAAAATAATGTGCCTTGCTACTTGAACCGGAGAGAGGGAAAGACCGTCATGGAAGCGTCGATTTCTCTCTCGCCAAATTCATAGATCGCACCCTGCCAGCCTTGAAGGAGAGCTAGTCTTTTGTGCTTAGATACTGAAGTTGTTGACAACCAAATGAGGACTTGATCCCATAAAAGCGGAGGAGATGAGATCTGAAGACGTTGTGTTATGAATCTCCAAACCTCAGTAGAGAAGACGCATTCAAAAAAAAGATGGTTTCGAGATTCATGTGCTAAACCACAAAGGAGACAATTTAACTCAACATCATAGCCCCAAGTAGACAGACGATCAAGAGTAGGGCTACGATTGAGTAAAAACAACCATGAGGTTAGGGCATGTCTAGGGATGGTAGCCTTGTGCCACACAAGAGGAGCCCAAAAGTTTTCTGGTTTTGAAATTCTAACAGCATTCCACACAGCTTTTGAAGAGAAATATCTATAAGGAATACCATCAATTGCCCAAACGGGAGTATCAAATGAAGAATACATGGTAATAGTAGAGATGAACGAGAGGAGAAGAACTTGTCTCTCTGTTCTAGCATTAGGGAGAGACCACCCATCATTAATTCTCAATTCAGCCACAGTTGAAAACAGAGGGATCCCGAGATGAGTAAGGCCATCTGAACCAAGAAAATGGTAAAGAGAACCAAAAGGAGTCCATGGTTCCCACCAGAAAGAGGTTGAATCACCATTTCCAATATTGATGCTGAAAAACTTAAGAGCTTTGTGGCGTAGCTTAAGTAACTTTCTAAAAATCCAAGAGTAGGCAACATTGTTTCCAAGTATCAGTTAATATTCAACGCACTATATATATAATATGTACCATCACACGTCAATCGACATCATCGACCAAATGTTGTTTACTAAATACTTACAGTTTGAATGTCTAGTTTTAAAGTAGTTTGTAAGACATTGTGAAATGGTCAGTTTAACCAAAATACTTAATTAGTAACATCACTTCTAATAAAAAAAAAATTGGTTTATAGATGTCGACAATATAAAACGTCCAGAAAATTTTAGGATTTAATAATAGACCGTAGAAATGACTTATGCGAGAACAACAGGAGAGTTGAAAGTCAAAGACATGGGTTCGTGCATTTGGACGAAAGGACAGGGAAAAGAAAACAAAACAAATGCACGTTATTCTTTTTCTTCTCTTTGTTTTGATATCACAAATCTCCAGCGTTTTCAACTTTCTGCTAAACGAAAATTTTAACTAATTTTGATGAAAGAATGGAAGACCAAGCTTTCCAATAAGAAGGTTTACATCAATTTTTTTTTTTTTTTTTTTTTTTTTTTTCAATTACAATTCTCTTACATCTTTTCTAAAGTGTGGTATGTTATATATTTAACTTTTAAATAAATAAGTCTTTTCCAAAGTGTGATATGGTATATATTTTTCAATATGAAGATCATATCCATAGTTTGGTATGTTACAAACATTAAAATAATTTCAATATAACCGTTGACGCAAATAAATAAAATTGTAACTAATTATGATGAAAGAATGGAAGGACCAACCTTTTCAATCGGAAGTTTTACATTTATTACGATTTTCTTGCATACACTTGTAATTTGCTATTATTTTTTCTATGATAAAATATTTTATTAGATAATTTTCAACAGAAAAACGATATGGACCTACATATATATAATATTAGTTTTCGACTTCTAGTTGATGTCAAATTAAACGAATAAAATATTAACTTTCGATATCTTTTACTTTCTACTTGAATCACCATTTAAAACAGGGGATGATGGAGTGATTGATAATGGGAAATGCTCCACTAACTATTTAAAATAAATTTACACTTTTTCCTCTCAAACTTGTTTTTCACCAATACAAAATTATTTTATTAAGTTTCATATTCTTAATGTATCTTATTTGACTGTAATTTTTGAAAAGAAAACCAAGAGTCAGTTTGGTTTAAAAACTAAAAAGTATATTAGAAAATTTACTATGTTTTATTTAATTAATGTGAAAGTATCAAAACTACATCTACTCTAAAATAGATTGAGTAATATTTTTTTTTGTTTTCTATTCTTTTTAGCTAATCAATTTTTACTACGAATGCTCATTTCCATCAGATTCCGGATTACAAAAAAATTTTATTTAATAGTTCTAATCTCAAATCGAAATCTAAGAACTTATTAATAAAAGAAAAGAGAGGAGATTTTACCCTTAACCATGTAACTATACAATGTTTTAATAAATGCTACGTGAAACATTAGGTTCCATTACCAACGGTGCGTTGGGCTAGTGGTTTAAGTGCAAGAGTTGGATCCATGTGCTTCCTAGTTCGATTTCCGGTGGAAGGGATGCTTTACGCCATGTTATAAGGTATTAGCAAAGGTTGGGCCTGGGCCATGGGGGGATTAAGGCCTAGGCCCAAACCCCCTCCTAGTTAACAAAAAAAAAAAAAACATTAGGTTCCATTGATGTATATATGTGAACAAATAAGACAAGTACTTACTGTTATTATTTAAATTGTTGGAATCGTGAAAAATAAACAAATATATCAGCATAATAGAAAGATAAACGCTATAAACAGAAAGTTGTTCATTTTATACACAAATTATGCTGTTTTGATATTTAAATATTTGAATATCTAGTATCGATCAACCATCCATAATTCTGAATTATGGAGTTAATTAGAAAAATACTATACAATTACGTCGTTATGCTATTTTGAATATAACCAATTGGTCATAATGTTAGAATGTATCACCACCACACAAAGACGCATGAGCACAAAAGAGGAAGAAGACATAAGCTCATTATTGTGAGTAGAAGGAGAAAGTGTCAAGTGATTGAACATAAAATAAAATATAATAAAAAATAAAAAGAGTAATTCTTTTTAAAAATGTTTGCAGAAGAGTGGGTGAAAATTTGAGTCAGAACTTAGAAGAAATGAGACAGACAAAAATCTATTTTTTGAGTAAAACAATGGAGGAAATATGAGTCTGATGAACTCTGACACAACTTTTGTTTATTATTTGGTTGTTGAAACAAGCAATGAAATAAATTGGGTTGACGTGCAATTCAAGCAATCTCTCAGTGATGTGTATTCAACTATTCATATTCTACAGTCTTCTCCACGAACTATCCACAAACATTACAATATAATATATATAGTATATACACACCCACACATATGGACTTGTGTTCCCCCAATAAAAAAGTTTCCAATCAAGTTTTCAATTTTATATCGTTTTGGGTTAAGAAATCATCTATAAAAACCAAATAGAAAAACATAAGTTCGGCTTCTTAACAAAAAAAAAACATCTATAATATGAAATATTTTCTAAAAATCAGTTTATGTTTAGCTTCTTTCAATTTAGATGTAGTTATTTTCTAATATAGAAACTAAAAATTGCATAATCCAACATTAGATTGATGTGACTATGTGAGCTATGAGTTTCTCGTAATTGCGTAATTCTTTTTGACCATCCTTGTTTAGTGACTCTCTATCTTCATTTCACATTATATGATGGTGTTTTCTAATATAGAAACTTAAAATTACATAATCCAAATTAGATTGCTATGAGCTATGAGTTTTCTTGTGATATTTCTCAATTCCTCTTAGTAAAAATGTCTCATTCAGTGCTAAATCAACTAGACGTAAGTTGTCATAAATACGTCTTTTCCAACGTTGGAGTAGTTAAATTGAATGACTCGAACTACTACTATAGAGAATAGTTACTTAGGTATTAATAACATAATATAAATTCCTATCAAAATTAAAATAATTGAATAAGCTATATAGTATATCCAAAAGAAAAAGAGCTTTCAGAGTATCCGACACCCACGTGCAAGGGGAATGAATAAAGTCATAATAAATATTTTTTTCTTTAAGACTCTCACATTCATTCGCATCATTATCACTTTTTTTTATTCACAATTTTTTCCAATGAATTGCATTATTGTATATTACTTGAATACTTCCATACATTAGTTTACTAGGTTATGTTATAATATACTAACAAACACATATAGTTAATCGACAAATGTGTAAGGCTAAATTATTGAACAATTTATGAGTCTATTATGATTTTTTTTTTCTGTCAGACTGTTTAATAAGATTGACTTATGACTATGAGTACATATGACTGATGGGTCGAAACCAGAATAAAAGCTTTTTTTAAATATGATTGCACTAACTTTAACGTGTCCTTTATTTCTATAAAAGATAAAAGAATAAATAATTAAGAAAAAAAGTCCTTAACAAAAAAAAAAAAAAAGAGAAAAAGAAGTGAGAGACAGCGAAGAAAAGAAAAGCTGGTAACCTCATGGGATGTTTTGGCTTTGCTCAATTATTTCGATACTTTTGATATGATTTTGTTCCATTCCTTTTCATTAATCGGATGTGAAAGCTATCTACTTCGTTTATTGTATAAAGTGATGCAGAATTTTCGAAGATGTTTTTACAATTAATCTAAATATGAAAAGTAATTAAACAGTTCTTTGGCTATCCATATTTGGAGCAGCGTTTAATGCGGCATGGAAGCGGTGAACATCCGTGATCACTTTTAAAAAACTATGGCGTACACAAAACTTCTGTTTAAAAATAAGTGTGTATAGGTTTATTAACCACTAGCGTAATTGGCAATGGAAGAATTACGCTGAAATATGATGTTGATGATAAAATTAATGGTGATTTGACAAATTAGTTAAAAGAATAAACGATATTCCCTCTGTTTCATATTTAGCTTCTTTTTTCCGCAATATATGGTTGATGTAGAATTTAGTTATTGACTCACTTTCACATAAACATTTTCTTGAACATTGACATTAACCCCTTAAAATAAGCAATGTGACAAGCCACATTCAACCAGAAACAACTCAATTAAATTTTAAATGGTAAGATAATAGTGCTTTTAGCATTATTGTTAATTGTCTTGACTAATATATAGAATGAATACATCTGAGCATTACTAATTAGAAAATCATATTGTGTAACAATTTGAAAATTTTCCACACCAAAAAAAAATTGCTACGACAAAATAGAAATGATCCATTTAAGAAAAGAAGCTTAAATACTAAGAAAAGAAATGATCCATTTAAGAAAAGAAATGATCCATTGCTACGACAAAATAGAAATGATCCAGTTACGTGATTTAGTTATAACCAAAACCTTCGACAACTATAGCCAAAAATACTAAAAGAATATGTTATAATTTTTTGTAATTTTTATTTTCTTAATTTTATAATTAAGGGCATAATAGGATTTTGATTATTATAAAACCTATTTCACCTAACTTATCTAGATAAGTTATAGATGGACAAATGAGAAGTAAAACATCTTTTATTTCTAATTTCCCATAAATAATTATCTGATGATTTAACTAGAAATATATTAATAAAAATTATCAAAAGAATAATGCATGACTCATAAAATTAAACTATTCATCTGTGAGCTATTTTGAAAATACTGAAAGTTTTACCTAAAATAATAATTTATTTGACAATTATTTCACAAACTTTATTTGTTCTATCGGTTTGTTCTTTTCGTTTTTTTTTCAACAAAATTTCACCAATTTAACCAGATTAAACTATAATACTATAAATGTGAATTTTATCATATTTTTGGTTAACAAGATACACTATATGGGTAAATTACGTCTAATCAATGATAATACTAAGAGCATCCTCATTGGTAAGTCTCTTAATTTGGAATCCTAAACTAATAAATATTAATATTTTAATATAATTCAATTATCTACTTAAAATTAAATATGTAAAAGAAAATTATATCATTCAAGAGTTGGCATTTGTCCATGAAGACTCTTAAAGAAGGATTTATGGGTCCTTAAAAAAGGATTCTTCACATTCTCTCTCCAAA